TAACTTCCTTGTTTGTTTTTCAATGCTGGCAATGGGCCTGACAGAGCAGCAGTGTTTTTACATGACAATTTTTTTTTAATGTGTGGGCCAACTTATAATTACCAGCATCAATTTTCGTAGTTCTCTTTCCTTGAAAGGAAATTGAAATTGTTGAATGTTTGAGTTACTCTCATCCTTTTCTGTTACTTCAGGAAATGGAAGGTCACCTGAAAATCAAATTCATATGCTGTATTTTGACAAGTTGTAATAAGTACCAACTATTTTTAAACTATGTTCTAATTATAAAAATCTGCTTTGTACCCAGATGTCTCTTGGTGGAAAAACTTATGAGCATGCAAGGGAGAAAGGAATGCTTAGGAGGAAGAGTGTTGGTCTTGCTTCTTCCATTATGCCTAAAACTAATCAGTAGTCCCTTGTTCCTCAGAGAAAGATGGGAAAAGTCTGAGAAGAAGGCTGAGTGAGACTCTTTCCATTTAAGTTCCACGATTATTTCAAGTTTGTTTATGAAAAATACTCTTTTGATAACTTCTTCAACTACAATGGGATATATATTTCCAGGGTGACCAGGGGTAACTGTGAAAGATCATATGCAAAATTGATCAAAACAATTGTGGATAGTTGCTTTGTTTCTATGGGGTGAGGAAAAGTACAGGGATAACAAAAAAAGATCTAAATATTAAGAATATCTTTGCTTATTTTCATGAGAAATGTGGACAGTTCCTGGCGGTGACTTTTTTATTTAATGTTGTATGCATACAACATTCAAATTACACTTTATACCTGGTAAATAACAAGTATACACAGCATACTGAGATTTGTGATAATCGTTGCCAACTGTAAAGCAGGTAACACTATAATGACAAAATTACTTTCTCTGAGTTAGACTCACTGTAATGATTTTTTGACCCCAGTTTCACTGTAAAAATTGGATCTTGAACAAGGTCATCTAACTTCCTTCTAGATTCTGCTGCTGCTCCTGTTGTTTCTTTTCTTCTAGACATGGGAGGAATATATCGCTTACCAGTGGCCATGATCTTCTTAAAACCTTGGGAAATTACCTAGCTGAGAAAGAAATTTCATTAAATACAGTATGGTTAAACGGAACTAAGATAAAGTCTCTGGGGAAAAGATATCAAACATTAGATTAAAATATAATGTGATTTATATTGCACTCACCTGTTTGCACTAAATTCCTCACGTGCTCAAATTTGAGATTTGTTGGTTCTGATTTTCAGTGCAATCTTTGTTGGAGACACATAAAGAGCTTGATAAGATTTTTGAACGATACTGTGTCCAAACTAGAGGTTTATAAAAGGTAAGTGATTCCACATTAGGTACAGAACAGGATTAAACGAGTCAAAGTGATTTGAGGTTGTAAAGAAGAAGAAAGCTGGTAAGTTTTGAGCTCAGTAAAGAAATATAGAAAGATGTTTTTTGTCTAGTCACGAGCATGGAACAAAGAAAAACTTCCCCAAGATGAATCGAATCTCTTTGTTCCACACTTGTGTCTAGGCGAATAAACATCTTTCTACATTTCTTTACCTCGAAACTTCCCATCTTTCTTATTCTTTACAAAACATGACATATATGAACTTCATAATGGGCCTTGCTCGCCAAAGAATCTCTGTTGGTCAGTGGTGGAGCATCAGAGCCCGGAATCCGATGGTCTGAGGTTCAATTCCTCATGGAGACTCAGAATTTTTTCTTTGTCCGCCCACGCTCGTGACTTAACGAAAAAACATCTTTCTGATTTGGTAGTAGTTGAGTATGAGAGAAAGTAAAAAGGTTGTTAAAACTCATTTAAGTCACTCGTTAACCAAATTCTATTTTTAGCTTTCCTCTATCAAACCACATGTATCAGTGAGAAAACAAATTTCAGTCGCTTACTACTTTTATGAACGAGGTATCCTTTGGGTCACAATTGTTGAATATTGAAACTCATCGTAACCATTGGACCTCCTTTTAAACGCAGAATAGACACGTAAACAAGTATTTCCCCGCTGGACCTCGAAAAAGTAATGCGGTATCACACCTGAAAAACTTCATGATAATTCATAATAATGCAATCATCTTTCAGTGCCACACTTGCACTAAGAAAATTAGATCGCCGTGTCGTACGAGCAAGTTGTTATTTGTTCCTTACAGTTCAGCGACACTTTATTGAAAAGAACGCTTCTTAATAAAAGGCCCACTCACCTAATAACAAACTGTGCAGCGCCAAAGCTCTTGTGGGATGTCAACTCAAGAAAAAGACGTAAAAATTGTCGACTTCCGCCAAGATAGGAGCAGAAACAAACTGGCGTTTCTCGTCCGTCACGCCTGTAGGGGAGGGGGGAAGGGATGTCGTTTGATTATATGGCGAAATAATGGTTTGTGACGGTTTGTACGCAATCACGCCACGATGAAATACATTGTGTCACTGACAAACAAATTTGATTTTTTTTTTTATTTTTTTTTTAAAGAAAGCACTGGTGGCAAAAATACCTTGCAATTTTCAGGGGTCAGGATGGATACTCCTATAGAGAAAAAGCATTGATGTAGAGTAATTTTTCGGCCAAATTGCAGTATACCCAGCCTTTCATCTGCATTTAACAACAGCCTCTATCATGTCTACTGTTTCATGACTGGTTCTTCAAAGTCTTCAAAGGCTGCCCAAATATGCAAATGAGTGGGCTGGGTATACTGCTCACTCCCCCACAATGCCTTAGGGCCGCGCCCGCACAGGCAACCCAGATAGAGTTTATTTAAAAATAACAACGAAATCATTGTTCAGTTGATCACATACACCTTGTTATGATCCAGCCTGTTGTAAGCTACACCACGTTAAGCATTCACTCTGTATTAACCTGTCAGTTGCTAAAGTCCCGAGTTTGTTTCCCCTAATCACTGTAATTTTCACCTCCATTAGGCATCCTTTACTAAGCCAAAAGGCTTGTTTGTATTGTCTTCCACCTTTATTGAACGATCACTTAACTGAGAGCCGAACCACTGAAATATATCTAAGAATAATCTTTAAAGCTATGTTGAATTCGTGTTTCTCTCCCAAAATCAAAGTAAGTAGTATTTTTGAGCGAGATTCTGTACATTAAGTCGTCAATTATGGCATGAAGTGGTGTTGTTCCATACGCTCGAGACTTTCTACCAACCATTTTTTTCCAAGTGTTATGTTAAAAACTTTGCTGCCAGGTACGGCAAAATGTATCGTGAACCGATGAAATAACCCACGTGATTAGTGCCAATGCAGATAGGCCTAACTGGGGTAAGAAAGGCCCATCATTTCTCCTAAAGGGAACCTCCACTCCTTTAACAAATAGCTTTCAAAACGTTCCAAATGTACTTCTCAATAGATCTAGCATAAAAAATTGCCTTACCAAGCGATCTGATTTTTTTATCATTTTTCAAAGAAGAGTCTAACGGCCACTTCGAATTTCCTGAGGCCGCCATCTTGAATAATGCGCAATGCAATCTAGGCTCATGACGTGTAAGGGTTGCTCGGTGCACTCGCAAATGTAGTTTTTCACTCTTGTTGATGCTATATTGCTTTCGTCTGAAGAAAAAGCAAACTAAGGAAGTCATTGAGACATCTCCGGAAATTTCTCACTCGGTCAACATATTCTCGTAAATGTGAAGGATGAAGAGAGGGGATATATCACGCTTAAGGTGGCTGAACACAGTTTTCGCGCGCGCTTTTGCTGACGCAATTCAGCGTGCGAACAAGGATTGCAAAAGCAAACATGCCGTCAACAGAGTAGTCATTTCATTTACTCAACACGTACCCGCACTATCCGTGCTATTTTTCTCTATGGTTGGCAAAGTGTATAGAGGGCTTTAATCTTTTATTACAAAAATATGTTAGAAAAGTTAACGGTGCAAAGAACCCAGTAATTCTAAGCTTTTTCGTCGTTGCCGAAAGAAACCAGTTAAATGCAGCGCATGCATAGTAAGTAAAAAAGTTGCGATTGAATGGAAAATTGCTTTCTCGGAAATATGCCTATTTTTCAGAACCACTCATTAGAATTTCACGAAATTTGGCACAAAAATACTTTTGGAAATAAGTAGCTGGAGTATTGAAAAAAATTGATTTTAAACAAAAGAAATTCTAGAAAATCGAGTGAACCTTCAACAAGGGATAATTAAAGATCTTTCTGTTAAATTGTTAGCAAAATGGTGTTAACTTGTGAGTATCGTTACAAGCTCGCCTCATTCAAATTATAAAGAAAATCTAATGAATAGATTTTCTGCAAAGAAACAAAACCGATTTTAATAGCCTACTTATATCTATTAATGTCGCCATGGCAATGGCACATACGTCAGCTTAACTATCGAAAAAACAAAGTTTGTGTTGTTAACTTCCTTGCTGCCAATTTTGGCGACCGAGAGATCCAGGCTTTTAGAGTAAATGGTGAAAGAAATAAAAGTATCAAAAACTGTGTTCAGCCACCTAATACAGGTACTACTGATGGACGTTATGTCGAAACTCTTTTTTAATTCCATCGTTTCATTATGGTTTACAATATTGTCAAACTTTCTATGGTAAAAATAATCACAAGCTATAATGATATCACAGCCCGTGGTCTCCTGTAACTAACCTAACACCGGTAATACAAGCTTTTAACGAAGTAAAACTTTCTATAGGAAAAAAAATCTAAATCAACATATCAATAGGCTTTCAATGGCGCTGTGTTACGGCTAAGGGGTCTCTCCTTTCTCTTTCTTATTCTTAGCATCTTCTCGTCCCTGTTTGTTTGCATCCCTCACTGCGTCGATTTCTTCCTGTGTCCTTGTATCTCCAATATGCCCAGTGCCATCTGGGTTCTTTTTGTCGCCATGTCTCTTATACTGCTCCCTCAGAGCACTCAACGCTGCTGCTGTTTCAGCGTCGGACTTTTTGGTGGCTTCGCGGTTGGCCTCTTGATGTGCTGCAAGGTTTCCTCTGATCTTGTTTTCTACCCGCATCTTACCATAGCTCTTCGCGAATTCCCAACCTGCTTGGATCGTTTTGATTGGCTGTTCTTTCAATTTTCTGCTGAGAGTACCAAGACCTTGCAAAAAAAAAAAGACACAAACGCGCTTGCAACATTCAATGGCATTGTATAACGAACGCATTTTGAGTATGTAAATTAAGTTGTCAGTCAGAGTTAGAGTTGTAATGTAAGCACTCTAAAAAAACGTAAATCATATAAATATTGTTTTAAGGCTTTTCACATGAAGATTTGCTGGATTTGATATTGGTCAAAATAGTAATGGTGACATCTTGCAGTGCTTTAGCAAACGAGCATGCATTCAGGACGCGTATTTTTTCCTAACGCGGGAAGACCGACGAGCTGGACAGCTTCACAGTGTTAGAACCCTTATGGACCTCTAGCCAACCTCACATTTTTTCCAGAGGGCCTACTCAAAGAGTAGTTTTGCGTGAACTTCTTGCACTTGCGAAACGCACTGGCGGTTGAAAAAAAATACTTTGTTGAATACCTGTACGGTGGCCGGTTTCATCTCTATCACGAATACCGGTTTTTCCGTGCTTTATTTGGTTTCCACTCCGTTTATTAGACGTCCTTGACGATGATGATCTCCTTCTGAAAACAGCAGAAAAAGAAAAGAGCTCAAAACCAAAATAACGACGGGGCAACCTAAATGTCCCTTTTGTATCCCGAAGGATCCCCTGCTGTTTTTATGAATTCAAATGTCTCAGTTCTATACCATTTTTCTAGTACCCTTCAACAGCACCAAACATAGGTAGCGTACTTGAGTAGGTGAAATATCATTTCAAGATATGATTCGTGTCTTGTAGGTCTGTGAATAAACTGAAGGGCTAGTACGTTCATGTGACGGCAAAAGCATGAGACATCCTTAAACGTCACAGAATACATACCCAGAACTGGAACTTCGAGAACTACTTCTGGAGCCCCACCATCCCTCACAATGACCGAGTACATCCAGTGTCAGGATGACGACAAAAGTCACAGCAGCCAGCGTGCACAATTTCATTTTGTACTCATAGGTTGCACACTTCGGATAAAAAAACTTCAACTCAAGTGACTTTCAACCAGTGTTGGCTTTTATGGATTTCAGAACGAGGAAGTGGATAAATTTAGATCGCCGAGACTGAGCTAGAGAGAAAGGAATTCCTGAACGTTCATTTCCTTTTTTAGTCAAGCTTCCCTACTATCGTGTTCTACTGTGGATAACCAGAACGAATTTCATGCTGAATGGCGCTTTAACCGAACACGTATGTCCAACTATCGTCTTCCGCTGAGGATGACAAGATTGAATTTCATGCTGAATGGCGCTTAAACCGAGCACATGCGTCCAAAGCTTAAGTCTTATTTCTTAAGTAATTCTTTTCATATGCAGCTTGCCTATGAAAAATTAAAATTGAGTTTCATTTTCCTACTTCCTCAAATGCTATAGACCCCTGAAGCTTATGTGGAAACCATGTTGCTAGACTTGGCATCATTTGCAAGCATAGAAAACTTTGCAGAAGAATTCAGAGGGCGGAAACTGTAAGTAGAATTTGCTTTAAATAAATTATAAAAACACTTTGGCAGAATGCAACGTTTTAAAGAACAAAATGTGCTCTTCACAAGCTAGATAGGAGTTTGAAAAGTTAAAGAGTGCAATTAAGTAAAACAGTTAACTTGAAGGAGGATAGCAAAGGCAGAGTCCTAGTCCTGTTTCACAAACGTACATGAATTTTAGAAAATTTCACACTTCACATGTACCTTAAACAGCATTTCACGCATCACAAATTTGTAAAGCTCTCTTCGTGTCTGCAAGATTTCAGGGAAATCTTGAGGTTTTCATGATGCTGACAAGGAGAATTTGTTAAACAGTCAAGATTTTCTTTAATTGTTGATCATTTCCTATATTCCTGCAACCTTGATATGTGACTGAAGGGTGATATTGTTGGGAGATTTTACAGCAGATGTCAGTCACTCTCAAGTCAATGGTTTCATTGTTTTTACTCATTTGTCAACTTCCTTTAAATTTTGTAGTTTATTTTAACATCAAGTTAGCAGTCCTGTAAGTGATTTCAT